TAGTTTCGTTTGATTTTTGTTTTTTGTTTTTTATTTTGTAGTCGTTTTGCCTTGCTTTGCTTGTGCTTTGTTTTTAGTTTAGTTTTGTTTCATTTACTTTTGTTTCTTTTTTTGTTTTGTTTTGTTTTGTAGTGGTTTTGCCTTTCTTTGCTTTGATTAGGCCATGTTTTTAGTTTAGTTTTGTTTTGTTTTGGTTTTGTTGTGACTTTTTATAAAAACAATAGGCCTCTCATTTTAAAGTGAACTACTTTGAACTACTTACAAGCAAATAATATCTAATTAATTCCGCAAGATGAAAGCCTGTACTGTGTAATTTATTTAAATGCCCACAACTGGATAATATTCACTTCACAGGAAACCAATATATCACCCAGCGCACAATGACACGGCTGTGAAAGGACTTCAGTGAATGTCCGTGTGTTTATCTGTCAACACTGGAGTTATGTGTTAAATCTGCTGCCAGCTTCTTAGCACTAAAGTGCATGTGGCTGCAAATTCCTCTCCACGCTGTAAGGTTTTAATTGGTGGTACCCTTCAAGCGATAGTCGACAAATGCTTCCTACCTCTTGAATCCTGTCTTGGTGGCGGGTGATTGTAAAGGTCGAGTGAGAAAACCTACACTGACAGCCCTGATGAATGACAGGGCCACTTGACTGAGCCACTGGGGAGAGAGACACCAGAACGGCTGATTTTCATCATAGCGTATGAAACCCTGGGCTCGGTTTTGCTAACAAGCACGGCCGCTTGTCATAGTATATTCTATGATCGTTATTTGAACACATTATATAAGCTGATTGTAAGTTTCTAGGTTGTGTAACATATCATACAAGCGTATTCTTACACAAAGCCCCCTTAATCATCACATAGTGGTGTTTTTATGCAATAGCAGTTATTAGACCACCTACACACGGTAGTTTAGCATTATCAAGATGCGTTAGCATGGAAAGGTCAATTTTATTATTTGCAAGCCTTTCACGGGGCAAAATGCACAGGGAATGTGGTGAGTGCTACTAATTAATCTTCAGCTGTCTCGCTTCGTCTCGTTTGCGTATGCAGTGATTTAGGCTTTAGCGAGGAGCTGTTAGTCAGATATTTCATCTGACCTCTTTGCTTTAGTTACTGTCTGGTTAACCGCACATTTTATCTGTTCAAAATGTACCTTAAATGAATACTTTTCAAGTTTTTAAAACTCTAATCAACATGGGCATGGGCAAATATGGATGCTTTATGCAAATGTAGGTTTATTATTAGTGAAACCATACTCAACATTGAGCATGAAGACTAGACATGTTTCAGAGGTCATAGGTGTTTTTCAAATAACTTTTTCATGTCTACTAGACACATGGAAAAAAGAACAGAAATACCAGGTTCCCATTACTTCTCTTTCTTTGCACTGAGCAATGAGCCTCTCTCTCTCTCTTTCTCTCTCTGTCTCTGTCACTATCTGATATTGCTTGCTGACTTCCCCCCCAAACACCCAGACATTTTGTTTGCCGTTCAGAAATCCTGTTGAGATGTCTAACGCTTGTGTACACTTCAGAAATATGGCGTGTGCTAACCCAAGACACAGAAAACAGCTCCATCTGTCCCTTTTGGAAACCTTTAGTCCAATGTAATAAAAACAGGCAATGAAATATACAATGGGGTCCAAAAGTCTGTGAGCCCATTAAAGTGGGATTTAAAATCTAGCTAAAAATAAACAAAGTTTTAGGATACATTTTTTATTTTATTTTATTTTACAAAATATTTATTCATTTATTTTACAATTTATATTTAAGCTATTTTTAGTGTTTTATTTTCCAGTTTTTTGTTTTGTTTTGTTTCACTGTCATTTTATAAAAACAATAGGACACTCAAGGTTATTACAGGGAGGGACTGTTCAGAAACATTTGGTGAACCCAGTGAATTCACAAAAGGCCACAGAGAGATAAACAAGTGGAGCTAAATGACCAGACAGTAATACGGAATTATGATGTATGGGAATAATAAGCACTCAAGTCAACAGCAAATCAAAATCGTCCCTCTTTACTTTATTAATATGTTCCTGGTCTTATTGTGCATGATTCATTGGTCATATTATCTTGAAGTAATGACAAGTTTGTCTTGATAATCTTTCATCAAGATATAATAACTTGCTCCACCATCTGAAATGACTTTTCTTTTCAGCTGACATCGTCTAGGTTGGACAACGGTCCATCAAAGGACCCACTTCTAATCAAGAAAAGAGTTGGGATTTTATTTAATTAAATTTTTTCTTTGATCAATTTATATTCCAGATATTATGCAATATTTTATTTTATTCCCTTTGCACTGAGCAATTTACTTACTCAAGCCTGTTTACATTATTTGCAGAACAGGGCAGCTCACTTTTTCTGAACATGCAAAATGCACATTTATTATTTATTATTAAACATTTGTTTGCCTCTCTATGCCCACATACTGTATTTTGATGCAGCTAAATTCTCAATAAAACTGTTTTCATTGATATATTTTACTGTTTCTGTTGTCAGACAACTGAATGAATATGAAATAGTGACTGAAACGCGACCCATTAAGACTACATAACCAGCTCTCCCTTCCAAGACGTTAATCTGCACAAAAATCCTGATAATCGAGCCGTCGTCTGATAAAATCAAATACATAAGATAAAGACAATAGCGGTGCTGTGATTTCGGCTATACTTGAGCATTAAAATGAGTTTGCTTTTGCGTGTGGATTTCAGCAGTGGCGGGTAACACGGTCACTCCTACTAGCCACTTTGGCGGGTTGAATTTAATATACAGTAACAGAGCTCGACATTAAGGGACCAGTGAAAGAAGAGAATTTTACTTGCCCCAGACAACTAATCTGCTTAAAACATCTAATTAGGGAAGCACCGAAATTTCGGCGTTTACACATTCGGTGTAAACGGCAATTGATAATGGATAGTCAACCGTAACAACAAGGTCACGCCAGCTGAGGGCTCACGCAGCCTGTCTGGAGAAATTAAAACAAATCAACACAACTGCACACAGAAGAGACATAAAAATGAAACTTAGGTTTTATATTTATAACATACAGCCTAGCTAAGCAACATGACTCGACCAAGAGAGTGAAGTTTTCCCTGAAAACCACGATTGCAAATTTGACATAGCTATTATACAAGAATTAAAACGAGTAGTTAATATACATTTTAGTTCAATATTTGAATTTGAATTTTTGAAAGGATATATTGTCAGCGCGTTGACTGTTTTTGCTCGATTTGGTTAATGAAAATAGTTCCAAACAAAGATCACAGCAGAAACAATCGCGCATTTCTGAGCAACACAGCGGTGTTTCGTTACTGAATGATTCGCGTTTTTTAATTTTGAATCATTTGAGTCAATTCAGTGTTCCATTCATAAAGACAGGCACGCTTCAATGACTCATTAATTAAGACAGTCACTTGCTGCCACCTACTGGCGGTTTACTTTCATAGTAGCTTATCTTTGCAAGTTTTCCAACATTTCATATCTGTATATTAAAAAATATGGAGCTTATAATATGACAAAACTATTTGAATTTGAATTGTGTACATTTGAATTATTGACAAGTGTCATTTAACAAAACCTGAATTTTATGTGGCATTTAACATAGTTCTGAATTAGAATTTTTTTTACTTGAATATTGAACATTTGAAATTTAACACAATTTATTTTTTATGGCAGTTTTTTTTAATAGACATGTATTTTCAAACAGCTGATTTTTTTTGTTCTGAGTTGTTAGACTGTAAATATCCAGTTTTTAAAAATACAGCTTCAAGTTTTCAAGATGAAGAAGAAATTCGGAACATCAAATTCAAAATTCAATACGCAGAAATTCAGATCGTACAGAAAGTAGGTAAGAGGTTATCCACAGGGAAGAGTAGATGAATAGCAAATAACACATATACTGAATTTCTGTTATGTTTTGTTTATTTTTAGTAAAATCAAATGTGACCTTGTTGTTTGTAACTATGGCAATGTCTTCCCCGAGACCGCACAAAACACTCCAACTAAGAGAGAAGGCGGCAGCCGCGCGGCGATTCCAGGATGTCTTCATCTCCATATGATTATCTCGACAAAATGCTCCCACAAGTTAATATGACGTTCCCAAAACGTTCCCATATGTTCTCATTTACAGTGTAAATGCATTCATGCTACATTTCAGCTACATTGAACTGTCTGTGTAAATGCATCTGAATGCCACTCCAGTCACTTCTGTTTCTTCTGCAGTGGAAAGATCAGTTTTGTAGATACTGATTTCATTTGATTGGTAACAGACCTATATTGTCTTATTATATTTAGTGAAATTATTAATAAAATGTAAGAATTTGATATGAAAGATGATGCATGCATTTAATACAGTCAGGGAAAATGCCCTTTAAATAGACCAAAAATGACCTGGAAATCAATTTAAATACATTTTTGTATGCAATATTAAGTCATATAAAACGTAATTTCACAACATAATTGTGGCCAGTGAAAATGCTGAGTGGCTAGTAAATTTGGAAAACCACTAGCCACAGTGGCTGGTGAGCAAAAAAGTTAATGTCAAGCCCTGTATATATTCCAATTTATATTACAGTTAGTAATTCTAAAGTTGGTACTTTATTTTATTTTCAATGCCATTTTATAAAGACAGTTAGTGGCAATGCAGTTTTTTAATGTATTTTGGCAACTAGAATTTTATTAATTTATGTGCTGCAGCTTACAGTTCATGTTAATCTTTACATTATAAATTATTGTTGATTTTATCTGCATGTCACCTTTACAAGGTTACATTGTTTTGTTACATTGCAATGTTGCTTTGAAATACAAGCAAATAATATCTTATTAATTTTATTTTATTTTCCACCATATTGAGAATTTACTTAATATTGTTAATATTTTGGTTAATACTTCATTTTATTTTTGTTTAATTTAATTTAGTTTGCTTTAGTTTTTAATTTAGGCATTGTGTATGCCATTGAATTTATTCTCAAATTTGCTCTCTTTCTGCAGTGTTGATCATGCCGCGGAGCCCCATGTCTAGCGAGGAGGAAATGGCTCAGAGTTTCTCGGACTCGGTCAGTTCGGAATCAGACAGCTCCCGAGATGAGCCTCCAAGGCTGGATCAACCTACCAGTGCCCGACTGGACAACAGCCTGCGAGACACAATGCTCATCTGTGTGGTCATCCCTGACCTGCAGCAGTCTGTGCGTTCTCACACACACACACACACACACACACACACACACACACACATACACATACATACATACACTCGTGTTTCACCCCAGGCTGTTGGGCCATGTGGATCTTTCTAAATTATATTATTACAGTAAATTGCTTCCCTCTTACAGTTTCAGCCTTCTCTGGGGAGCTGTTTGGGTTTCAGTGGACTAAAAAATGGAACGTATGCAAGTGGGATAGGCAACAAGTATTTTTGACCTATTTCATGAACGTAAAGTAGAAAATTACATTGTCATGTTTTAAATGAAGAAAGTTCAGAAAAGCAATATCATGTAGAGTCATTTAACACAGGTGTTTTCAATATGTGAAGGTAATAGTTTTATTGGTTATTCCTTTGCAGAAACACTCAAGCAAGCCAGATAAAATTGAAACCAAATCAGACCAAAAATTATATAGAATTTGATTTATTTGTAAATAAAATTAAAACCGAAAATCACCAAGGAATTTTTATTGCTCTCTCTCAAAACAGGATCTTTAAAAATATCTGTGTCTGTCATTACTGAAACTGTTATTTTGGGAGGAAGCAGAGGATTGAATTGTGTTTGCACATAGCTGATGGGGTTATGGTTAGTATATTGTGCAAGTTATTGCCAGTGTCACATTTATTGAGCGTTACAATTATCTTAGCTTTCCATATTCTGCATTTACTTGTCAACAATACCGTCACAGTGAGGGAATAAGGAGGAGGTAGGATAGATTTTATTAGCTCTAAACACAAAATGAACAAGATGCTGTTATTCTGATAAGAGTATTCTTTATTGTATCCCAAGAAACAAGACATTCAGGTGGGACGTATCGAAGGGCACCTCAATTTAGTCAATATATGCTAAATATGCTAGTTATCTGCAGATTGCATTAGTGGGAAGGACATTCTGGGAGAGCATTTGATTGGACAGAAATCTGTGCAGTGCAGGTTGAGTCTTTAATATTTATAGTTTGTTTTACCTGAAGTGAAAGAGTGTACATTTTGAATGCCTATATCTGCTGAAAGGGAATTTTGTCAGTATTTAGGAGTTTACAATACCAGCAGCATATATAAATGATTTCAAAGCCTCCATATGGGCTAAAAGACACAAAACTTAATTTTATGTACCTTTAAAGTACAGTTAAAGGAACAGTTCACCCAACTATTAAAAATGGCTAAAAATGTAATGAGTTTATTGAACTATTAAAGTAAATTATCTGAGACGAGTTTGTTTCTTCATCAGAACAGATTTGGAGAAATGTAGCATTTACATCACTTGCCCACCAATGGATCCAGTGAATGGGTGCCGTCAGAATGAGAGACCAAACAGCTGATAGAAACATCACAATAATCCACAACTAATCTACACGACTCTAGTCCATTCATTAAAATCTTGTAAAGCGAAAGGCTGAATGTTTGTAGGAAACAAATCCATCATTAGGGCATTTAACTTTAAACCATCACTTCTGGCCAAAATAGAGTCCATAATCCACAATGGCTCTTTCTCTAGTGTAAAAGTGCACCCGCTGTTCTCCTCTCACATCATAATCATATTTGATTAGAATTGTTTTGGACTGTTTTCACTTATAAATTGTGCTTGATCTGTACATATTTCTCCCCTGACTCAGACAAGATGACCATTTCACTGGTGAAAGCCATATTATAGATAGAGGACTTGTATTTTTTAGCATGAAGCAATGGTTTGAAGTTGAAAATTATGGATTTGTTTCTTACAAACATGCAACTTTTCACTTCATAAGATGTTAATTAATGGATTCGAGTTGAGTGTGGATTACTTGTGAATTATTGTGATGTTTTAATCAGCTGTTTGGACTCTCATTCTGACGGCACCCATTCACTGCAGTGGATCCATTTGTGAGCAAGTAATGTAATGCCAAATTTCTCCAAATGTGTTCTGATGAAGAAACAAACTCATCTGCAGCTTGGATGGCCTGAGGGTGAGTACATTTTAATTTTTGGGTGAACTTTTCCTTTATGGTACAGTCACTTTTACAGCTGTTCTAAGGGCAAACTCAAGTAATTTCAATAGGAATCCATGCAATGGGGACTTTTGTTTGAGGGTGAAAGATTCCTCCACCAAATTTTGCAACAAGGGTTCAAGCTAATCAATCGAAAACTACTTAGTTTGAAAGTGACTTCTGTGTGAGCTGTTTCATACATCGCTACACTATTCACAATAGACAATCAATCTTTTCTGCCCGCTGACATTTCAATAATGTGACTGCACCTAAACACTTATTACTGGTTAATTTGTAAGGTCAAAAAAGGGTTGAAATGTTCACGAGAAATGAAATAATGACCTTAGGGACCCACAAAAATGCTAAAAAAATGTATGATATAACCATTTAAATTTGATCTTGATCATAAAATGTCATTCTGTCAGCAACACATGATTTGTTTTCTCCTGTTGTTTTCTCCCTTTTGAACATTTTAGCTCACAAATGTTTTCCCCTAGTTAATCTGTACACCTGCTATGGCCTGATAGAGCGTTTCTCTGTCTCTCTCTTCTCCTCTCTCTCTCTGTGGCTTTGCCAGAAGTCCATGAGGTTCAGTCCTGATGCCACAGTATGGGTTGCTAAGCAGCAGATCCTGTGTACACTCACACAGAGTCTGAGGGATGTGCTCAACTACGGGCTCTTCCAGCCAGCGGTGGACGGGAGGGAGAGTGGTTTCCTGGAGGAAGAACGGCCCCTGAGAGACTATCCGCTATCCACCAATAAAGGCGTTCCAACCCTTGAGGTAAAGCGTCACTAGTTTGTTGCTTGAATGTTGCGGAGTCAACTTAAGCTCGATCCATGATGTAACTTTGACACAATACGTGCAAGGATACCAGTAAGGGACATGGTACATCACTATCTGCAAAGCACTTTCACAAACATCCACAGGAATTATGCTGGTAGACGCTGAACTAGAAGTTAATCTGCCTAGAACAGCAGTGCCATCACTGAACTTTAAAGCTCAAATAGCACACATTTTTGTATGAAACAATCAATTGAAGTGCTTTGCCAAATATGTGAGTTTCGTATTTATGCTTTTATACTTGCCCCCTAGACTTCCATTGACAGTGCATTAGTATAAAAACAACTTTTATCATTGTTTTATTGCTATTCATTCATTCATTCATTCATTCGTGTTTTTTTTTATTAAATTAAGGAACTAACCAAAATTGATTTCTGTGGTAATCATGACCAATAATTAATATAAAAAAATCTGAATAATTTTATTTTGAGAAGAAATGACCATGCATATTCTTTTTAGTTTTTCAAAAACATTTATTATTATTTTTTTTTAACAATTAATGGATCATTAGAATTGATAATCATCATCAACAATCATTAATAATTAGCTAAATAAATTTATTGGGAGTGTAATATGCTTACATAGACTTCCATTGTAATGCATTACCGTAAACACAGATTTTATTATTGTTTTTTTTATTTAATATTATTTATTAATTTTTACAATTAAAGAAAAAAAATCTGAATAGTTTTTTGTTGTAGTCAACATTAACAATAATTATCCAAATAATTTATTTAAGAGTAAAAATTCCCATTCATAATTATTTTTTATGTCAAGGAAAATCACAATGACAAAATGGCTTTTGACCGTGATGATAACTGCTATAAACTGCTACCAATACAGCAATGTAAAGTTGGAGTCCTTATTTAAGATTTATTCATTAATCATTTCTCTGTGCATTGCTGTAAACACAGCAGTTATTGTTGTTTTTATAAAATTGTATTTATTTATTTTATAATTTAAAAAAATTCAAATAGTTGTTTGTTTGTTGTAATCAACATGAACAATAATTAATATAAGTAATCAAAATAATGTAATTGTGAGTATAAATATCCATTCATATTTATTATTTATGTCAAGGATGATCCCAATGACAAAATAATTTTGACAGTGATGATAACTGCTATAAATTGGTACCAATGCAGGGATATGAGGCTGGCGTCCTTTTTTAAGATGTGCTTTCTGTACAGGAGCATTCTCAGCTCTCTCTGTGAAAAGGCTGATGTCAGGCTGGTGTAACAGGAACCTTTTGTGGTTCTCTTGTATGTTCATTCAAGCCCCAGGGTCTGATATAATCATATCTCTATCAAGGCAGAGACCAGCCAAAAAGAGCTGCAAATGGAGTATAATGAAACATATTTTTATTTTATAATTTGTTTGAGCTAAAAATTCTATAAATTATTTGTATGCCCTCCTGATTACAAAAAACGTGATGGTACCATAATACTTTAGTGCTCTGATATAAAATAGGGTTCTAAGTTATAAAGTCACAATTGCGAGATATAAAGTCACAATTGCGAGATAAAAAACTCGCAATTCTGACATTTTTTCTCATAATTCCGAGTTTATATCTCGCAGTTCTTACTTTTTTTCTCAGAATTGCAAATTTATATCTCGCAATTCTGACTTTATAACGCAATTGTGAGTTAAAGTACAATTTTGAGGAGGGGGGGGAAGACTGATATGTTCTCAGAATTGCGAGTTTATATCTCACAATTCTGACTTTATAACTCGCAATTGCGATTTGTGAGTTCATATCTCGCAGTTCTGACTTTATTTCTGAGAATTGCGAGTTTATATCTCACAATCATAGACTGTAAAAAAAGATGGACGACGCACCTTCAATCTCTTCCACTGAAGAAAAGTGAAGCCGCCATTGTCCCAACAGGGCACGGCCATATTGCGCTGATTTGGAACCGGAGTCTGCGCAGTAGAGAACTCGTGACCATAGTCTGTGCAGTAGCGAGCGAAGTGGAGCCGCGTCCCTGACCCTGGTTTAATTAGCCTGACTGCTCCAGTTTTTGTCTGCTGAGAGGATTGTGTTAAAATAAGGTAAATACAACTCCAATATCCTCCTAAAGATCCCGAAAAAGTCAGTTGGCGCCTCAGTTCACTCAGAGAAACTGTCAGTCTCAGCTGTCAATCATGACGTCACACTCCTGTTTTTATAGCATCACTTAACTAACTAAAACCAAAATTATTTAAAAAACGAACACTTGAACTTACATCAGCGTGATAAAATCTACATCAAATGACAAAAGCCATCTTTGGAAAAAAAATTTTTGACGTGAAATTTAATTATTTAGTTTGTCCCATGTCCCATTAGATTGCATGGAGAGGGCGGGGTTTATGACCTGTACTGAGACCAGCCACCTGGGGGCGATCGAAACGCAATGGCTTCACTTTTTAAGACTCGTGCGGCACACTTGCTCACAATTTTGACTTTGTAACGCACAATTGCGAGCTTATATCACACAATTTCGGAGGAAAAAAGTCAGAATTGCGAGTTTGTATCATGCAATTCTAAGAAAAAAAGTCAGAACTGCGAGTTTGTATCACGCAATTATGAGAAAAAATGTCAGAATTGCGAGTTTGTATCATGCAATTCTGAAAAAAAAAGTCAGAATTGTGAGTTTGTATCACGCAATTATGAGAAAACAAGTCAGAATTGCGAGTTTGTATCACGCAATTATGAGAAAAAAAGTCAGAATTGTGAGATAAAAAGTCGCAATTAACTTTTTTATTTTTTATTCAGTGGTGGAAATGGGCGTCCATAGCATACTTATTAATTTCTAAATTAAAACCAATCTAGCATATAAACAGACTGCATTTTTCTCTCTGATTTAATTTTGCAGTTCCGCTACAAAAGCAGAGTGTACCAGCAGCCAAACGTCAACGAAAAGCAAATTGAAAAACTCCACACACAGGTAAGATTTTTTAATTTTTTAATTTTTTGGTAAAAATGTTGCTTTGACATATGTAGATTAGCCTACTATGCATATTTGTCAAAATGTGTCTATTTTTGATGCGCAGGTGGTGATTAACTTATGTTCCGTTATGATAACTTTTACATACATATCAAATAGAAGCTATTTGCTTAATTGCAAGCAGGAGAGGGCGTCTTGGGATACGGCTGTTAAAACGGGAAAGAAATGTTTGAAAATCTAGTTTTCTGTTGCTAAGATTGAATATCTAACGTACAACATTCATTTTAGAGTCTGCTGCTAAATAATGCAGCAGACCGGAGCATTTGCATACATTTGGACTTTGGATTTTCGGGTCGAGATGATCATTGATGTTGACGTTTTAGTGTTTCGGCCAGTTTTTCTTCTGTGGTCATGAACGTTTTTGCAATCACCGGAGGAGGTTATTGCACGCTTCTCCCCCAAAAGCAGCCCCGAAGCTCCGAACCAAGTTTTAATTGCCGGCTTCTTCCAGCACTGTATGTCCTGTGCTGTGCTCGATCTCTTTCTCTTTATTGCTCAGCCTATTTATCTCCCGTCCCCACACTGCTTCCCTCAGCATTTAAAACTCTCCCTCTCATTGCTCTGAGCTTTCAAGCTCCCTTAATAAGTTATTATATTACAGCTCCGTAAGCCGGCAGGGTTTGTAAAGGATGACGTAGGAACAGCTTTGTGTACGTCCTTGTTTCGGAGGAGCAGATATTCACCTCAGATCATACCGAATGTCAGTGCGTTATACATTCAATGGAAGCAAACGCTTAGAGGGGTTTGCTTTTAAAATCTGACTGCATTATAAAAAATTAAAAGGTGTAGTTGTTACCTTAAAGTAGGGCTGCACGATAAATCGCATGCGATATTTAACGCGCATCTTATCAGTAAAGGAGATATTTCTACCTGATCAGACTCTTAAAAATAATTTTTATTGGTGTAACCCAAGGAGAACTGTAATAACTGAAAAATTTGGCTGTTTGAACTCAATTTAACTCAATGGTAGTTGCTCGGCTGGTGCATAAATTAATTCTGCCATCTTTGCTTATTTTGGAAAGAGTGCATTTAAAAGTTTAACGCACATGAACGCCACCACAATTATGTGGATTTTCTTTGAGGCCAGAATTTTTCGGGTGTGTCAGTGAGAAAACATGGCGACTGCAATGGATGAAGTGTTTGCAATAGATCGCCGGTTTGTTGAAGTGTATGAAATTACTTTTCATTTACAATAAAACTAGCTAAGTCGCATGTACAAAATGCAGTATTATTGTACAATTATGACAAATTTATAACGATTCAGTTATATAGTGCCTTCATAAATTGAATAAAAACAAAATAAGCATAACTGATGCACATTCATTATTTAGCATTTTGTAGAAGTAGAGGCTATATATATATTTTTTTTTGTAGACAAGGTCACCAAAGTGATCTGAAATCACCTGATGTCATAATTATGACTTCTCAACTCGTCAATGCAAACTTACCATGAACGCACCATTAGTCCCGGTTATTATTATTATTATTATTATTATTATTTTGGGAGCCAGTCACCTGAACTGTAAATGTATTGTGACTCATTCTGAAACTGCATGAAAATAACATCATGACAACGTTACCTGGCAAATGACAGCACAAGAACATGGACAAGCCATTTATTAGCAACTGTCCTGAGCTATGATGACAAAGGTAGCTGACAGAAAAATATTTGTTTCTAAGTGATTTTAATGAAATATTTGCGATTTATATGTTGCAGAAATTGTATTTGATCAGAATATATGGCTACTTTCAAATGACTATCAATGGAGAATGTTTTTTTCACCATAAAAAAGTGTAGTTAAGGCATCTCCCAGCAGAGGCTAACCATGCTAACTATGCTAACCGCTCAAACTTTAATCGCTAACATTTTCAGGTTGAATTATTCATATTTATTATAATATTTCTGAATGAATAAACAAGTTTTAGGTGATTTTTGTAAGCTAACACTCACAAAGTACTTTTTACAGTGTAAGAGGATGAATGCTGTCATTGCACTAGGTGACATCTCTACATTGTAGTTAGCCTAATGGGTTTAAAGTTGTTAGCAAGCATCGAGCTGTGAATTATTGAAAGCTAGTGTTGGTAGGACGGGACCCAGAAGTTAAATAATGCAAACTCCAATGTTTTGTGCGAATATGGCACTTACTCTATTGTGTTGGAGGTCTTCGTGTGTGTACTGTGTACTGTGTTGTGCGTAAGAGTTGACGTGTGTTCGTAGCATGCTGTAGCTTGCCAAGTGGTCTCTAACTCTTTGCCGTGCCAAATCAGCTGTGCTTCCTCTCTCTCTCTCTCTCAATTCACTGAATCTAGAACAGATATATATGCAACAAAAAGATGCATGTATATACATTTAAAAAGTAGAACAAATTAACATTTTAGATTTAACAACTTTAAACTTGTTGTTTCTTGTAAATCTCTCTCTCTCTCTCTCTCTCTCTCTGATGTCTCTGTACTGGGAGCTGCTCTCCTATCTATTTTTATCCAGCCTTGTATCACGGCTAATGGATATGATGGCAGAGATTATAAATCTGTACAATGCTAAAAGTATACTCTAACTCTATATCTATATTCTATATATTCTAATCTGTATAATCGATATATTCTGAAGCAAAAGAACAATATGGTTTATTATGTAGGTTTATATTTTATTATATTTATATAGGTTTATATTTTATTATATTTATATACACTATTATTTACAAATTTGGGGTTAAGTAAGATTCCTAATGTTTTTGAAAGAAGTCTCTTATGTTCACCAAAACTGCATTTATTTGGTAAAAAGTAAAAGCAATACTATTGTGAAAAATAACAGTTTTCTATTTGAATATATTTTAAAATGTAATTTATTCCTGTGATTGCAAAGCTGAATTTTCAGCACACATTATTCCTGTCTTAAGTGTCACATGATCCATCATAAATCATTCTAAGATGCTGATTTGATGCTTAAGAAAAATGTATTCTTATTATTAATGTTAAAAACAGTTGTGCTGCTTAATATTTTTGTGAAAACCATATTTTTTCAAGATTCTTTGATGAAGAGAATGTTCAAAAGAACATTTGATTGACAGAAAACATTTGTAACAGTATAAATGTCTGTACTATCACTTTTGGCCTATTTAATACATCCTTGCTGAATAAAATAAATGTATTCATAAAAATTATATATATATATAATTAAAATAAATGAGTAAGTAAATAAATAAAACATTTGTTTTCTTTGAAAAAAAATGTTACTGACCCCAAACTTTTACAAGGTATTTATATTTTTACTTTTATCTTTATATTTACATTGTCTAAAGTCACAAATAAAGATGTAATTACAGTCTCACAATGTAATTTATATATTAGATTTTTTTTATTGTTTAGCACAACTGTAACGCATATAGTACAATATTATACATTTAATTTAATTTAAATCTAATTATTGTTTTGATAAAACACAAATCCCTTGCCTAATGTCTTACGTTTATTAAGAGAGATTTATCTAATACATTTTAATGAACTTGTTTTTGTGCTTCTGGTCTGCAGAGACACCACTAACCCTTGCGGCCCACCTGGACAATATGGTGGAGATTATAGTTACATTGAAAAACGGCGGGGCTCATTTAGATTTCCGTTCTCGGGATGGGATGACTGCCCTGCACAAAGCAGCCAGGGCAAAGAACCAGATAGCTCTTAAGGTAATAAATGACCTCATCCTGAACGACGGCATGAGCTTATGGCTGTGTTAGAGTGATCCTCTTCTTTGATTGTCTTGTTGTTTTTGTAAGAATGACTGCTGTTGATCTAACACAGAGCAGTACAGTAACATCTTACAGTGTCAGTGATGCAGCTGAGTTTACAGTACATTATTACTTTGACAGATTGTACTTTTATTCAAAGCACACTCTGTTTTGTTTATTTAAAATGAATCAGTAATTAAGTTTTTTTTTTCATTATTTCATTGTTGCTTTCTTCCCTTGACAACAATTGGAAATAATACTGCTGATGTACCACTGTTTTGTGCCCTGAATATTGTAAAACACAATTTCCTGTCTACCGTTGCTCTTGCAGTATATTGCTTGTTGGCCGTTTATTTAAGAAGGCTTCATGGAGAATCTTGGTTTATGTCAGTTCAGAGTGCTAGAGCCATAGATTTCCTATTTTCATTACTGAGTGGCTGGGTTTCGTAACTTTAGAAGGAAAATGTACTTGTAGTTCATTTAGTTACGAAACGAAAATGTACTTATGAAACTGCTTGGCTGTGTAAAATTGAATAAGAAATCCCAAAGGCATTATCTAAAAAAAAAAAAAAATCAAGCAGATTCGTTTACATGCATATATGTATTGTTTTACATACATGTTTACATTACACATTTTTTCATTACAAGTTTTATAAGTTTTATAATATTTGTTGTGTTTGACATCCAAAATGTTAAGTGAATGTTTAATGATTGGTTATAATTCAAGGCACTTTTTCTGATATACAGTGCTGTTCAAAAGTTTGGGGTCAGTAAGATTTAATTTAATTTAATTTTATTGTATTTTATTTAATTTAATTTTATTTTATTTTCGAAATAAATAAACAATGCAGTTCAGCAAGGATGCATTAAATTAATCTACAGCGACAGTAAACACATTTATAATAAATGCTGTTGTTTTGAACATTCTATTTATTAAATAATTCTGAAAATGTATCCTGGTTTCCATAAGAAAAAAAATTAAGCAGCACAACTTTAAACATTGATACTAATAATATGAAATGTTTATTGAGCAGCAAATCAGCATATTAGTATGATTTCTGAAGGATCATGTGACACTAAAGACAGGAATAACGATGCTGAAAATTCAGCGTTTGCCATCATAGGAATAAATTATATTTTAAAATATATTAAAATAGAAATGTTTCACAACTTTTGAGTGTATTTTTTTACCTAATAAATGCAGCCTTGTTGAGCATGAAAGTCTTCTTTCAAAAACAATTAAAATGTTTACCAACCTCAAACTTTTAAACAGTAGTGTAAAAGAAAAGAAGCCTTTATTTTTCATTTGTCTTGTCACACATGAACATTAAAAACGCTGAAAAAGTCCCAACAGAAAAAAATAGTCCTTTCATCCTTTAAGACCCTTCCAAAAAACAAGGCTCTGCTAAAACATAATCATAATATTATATTTGGCGTATTTTCCTCTCTGAAGGAAACCTAATCCTCTTTTCTCTCTGCAGACTATGTTGGATTTGGGAGTGTCTCCAGACTATAAGGACCGGCAGGGTTTGACTCCACTCTACCACACAGTGACTGTAGGGGGAGACCCGAGCTGCTGCGAGGTCCTTCTGCGAGCCCATGCCAGCGTGGGATGCCACGATGAGAACGGCTGGCACGAGATCCACCAGGTGCCGCTGTCTTTCACATGGTGACAGTCAGTGGAAAAGCTTTCTGTTGGCTAAAAATGTTGAGCGTGGGGTAATATATGCATAATAGAGCTGCAGTTTAATATGACAGCAGCTTTGTTCAATTAACGAACAGATGACAAGATCAAACTAGTTGAAGGCATCATCAAGTCCGTCTGTTGTGACGGCGTACTGACATCTAGTGTTGTGACAGGTGGACTGCAGGATGCCAGTCAAATTGTTTCCGTGGTGTTTTTGATCACACTCTACTGGGAAAACGGAAAAGCAGCATGTATGGTTTACTTTTAGACCCTTTGAAAAATATGAGATGACAGCGTACTGAAGGCTTAATAAAGTTTTTATGTTTCAAAAGACTTCTGCATGAATTTTTGAAAGGCTCACAAAAGCTTTTCTTTTAGCAGAAACTGTTATAAAATCCGTTTGCTGATTTTTCTCACTAAAATGATATGCTGTGTGAAACTTGTTGTTCCTATTTTGTTCGTCAGGCTTGTCGATACGGCCACATTCAGCACCTGGAGCATCTCTTGTTCTACGGAGCTGACATGCATGTGGAAAATGCATCTGGGAATACGGCTCTCCATATCTGCGCTCTGTACAAACAGGTATGTACTCACGCTGTACATTTAATGATCCAAAGTCAGCTCCTTTTAAACAGTCAATAAACAGAGGTTATTGGCGTCATACAACAGAATACACTGTCAATAGGAGAATATAAAAAAAGTGTTGTTTTCTCTTTGTGGATCAATAACGTTTCGAGGGAAAAACCAATGGCCCCAGGGCCCGAGAGCTGAGATTGAGTGCAGCAGGGAAACTTTCTGGGAGAATCTTCAGGATTAAACTGTAAAAAATGTATTTCTTTAAAATAAAACAAAACAAAACATGTTTTAATGCATGATAGAACTAATTGTTTTACTAATGTTAAATATTATTATAAAATACATAATACAAAATATTATTTATAAATATTTTATTAAAAATATATGCTGTATATATCCCTGTCTCATGAGGCTGAAATGATGCCATGTTCATTTGTATAAATGCCAATGATCGACTGCCACTAATTACACTGGTCATTATTCACCATTGTCTCCCATTCTATCCACGATAAACCTCGAGCTGAACTGGAATCAGCTGGAACACTCATGACTATAAGCACCAGTATTCAGTGTTTATGAATGGACAACGGCCCATTACGTTCACGACACTAAGCAGCCAGGCAGATAATCACCTTATATTAATTGGGATGTTATGCCATTTTGTTTTTTTAAAGAATAAATATATTTAAATATGTTTTTTTTTTTTTTTGGGATTTTAGGATTCCTGTGTTTAGGACATTAATTAATTTCGTCGTAGGCCATATTGATCCCACATCCACAGTGTATCCCACTTTTTTTATTGTTCTTTTGTATCCTTCTAGTAAAGTCTTATATATGAGATCTGAAAAAGTGAGAAATAAATGTAGAGTTCAATTTGTTGTACTATCTTAAAGTCTCATTTTAAAATTGAACTGTCACTCATAGTCTGTTAAATGGAATAAATATAAATATAGAGTTATATATTCTAGGTATCACCTAGAGCTAATTTATTGAACTGGAAAGCCTGTAATTTTTCCCCCCAAAAAAGAAGACATAATATATATATATACAGTATATATATATATATATATAAGTTTAAGTTTATATTCATGTTGTCTTCTTTTATTGCTTTTCTATGATTCTGAATTGCTGATGTCTTTAAATACACTTGAAACAAATCGCAATTGTCCTCCTATGATCTTATGACCAGAAACTAACGTTTATTTTAAGGTGTGAAAATGGCTCTGCCGATGACAAGTGTCATTTATTGATTTGTGGAGGCTCTTGAGTTCACTGCTGGTCACATATGATGCCGTGTTCACCCTGAGCCGACCAATGGGGTCGTTATTTGAAGCACACGTCTGTAATGATCGGCCACAACGAGCTGTTATTAAAGTTGACGCTTAGCTAGCCTTTGGTGAAAGATGCTTAATTTGTCTCGTTGGTCAGTTTCGCCGCAGTCAAGGGCAGGTTCTCGAGCCTCGATTGTTTGCGATTAAACCCCGATTGCGCCCATCTGTCACCATGTCAACGAGGAACCTGTAACCGGTGCCAAATGCAGGCCAGGGATATTTTCATGTGCGGGAAATAGAAGCCGCATCCTCACATGTGATTATGTCTCATATACAAGGGCTGGCAGCAGCTGTGAAACTAGTATTAGAAGGAAGGTAGGAGGAGAAGGCAATGGAGGTGTGTGTATGTGTGCGATTGTGTGTGTGTCGGTTTAGTGGTGAGGCATTCCGTGGGTGGGCTGTTGAATCCAGCTGGATATAGTGGGCTGGAGAGCTACAGAGCCCTGGATCTCTCTCGCTCTCTCTCTCTCTCTCTCTCTCTCTCCGTCTTTCTGCTTTTGGTTCTCACATTCAAGGATTCTATTTTTAGGACATCAGTTGATGTCTAGGACTAATCAATTAAACAAATTCTGGCATTGACCAATGACCATGACAACAAAATTAAAGAAATTCATATTGTCTTCTTTGATTGCTTTCCTAAGTATGATGCTGAATTGCTGATGCCTTTAAATACACTTGAAACAAATCGCCCTGGTCCACCCCTGCTCTTATGACTAGAAAATAAAGTTTATTTTAAGTTGTGAAAATGGCCCTGCCAATGAGAAGTTTCATTTATTGATTTGTGGAGGCTCTTGAGTTCACTGGTGGTCACATATGATGCCGTGCTCACCCTGAGCCGACCAGTGGGGTCGTTATTTGAAGTGCTCGTCTGTAATGATCGGCCACAATGGGTTATTATTAAAGTTGACACTCGGCTAGCCGTTGGCGAAAGATGCTTAATTTGTCTCGTTTGTCAGTTTCGCTGCAGTCAAGGGCAGGTTCTCGAGCCTCGATTGTTTGTGATTAAACACGATTGTGCCTATCCGTCACCATGTCAACGAGGAACCTGTAACCGGTGCCAAATGCAGGCCAGGGATATTTTCATGTGCGGGAAATAGAAGCCGCATCCTCACATGTGATTATGTCTCATATACAAGGGCTGGCAGCAGCTGTGAAACTAGTATTAGAAGGAAGGTAGGAGGAGAAGGCAATGGAGGTGTGTGTATGTGTGCGATTGTGTGTGTGTCGGTTTAGTGGTGAGGCATTCCGTGGGTGGGCTGTTGAATCCAGCTGGATATAGTGGGCTGGAGAGCTACAGAGCCCTGGATCTCTCTCGCTCTCTCTCTCTCTCTCTCTCTCTCTCCGTCTTTCTGCTTTTGGTTCTCACATTCACGTTCACACATGCACATAGGCATTGCTGCAGAGACCCCCTCTCCTTTCTCTTTGGGTGTAGACTTTGCTGTAGCATCACACTTGAATTGGACTTCACAAAGCTGAGGGCGAAGTCTGTCACTTTTGGATCTGGGTGAGGCGGGATACCTTGTGACGTGTCTAATTTTGCTCTTAGAATGTCGAGGATCAAATAGTAGAACGTTTTCTTGAGTTGGATCACGTTGAATTCATTTCTCTATCATCTGCTTTTCTTCTGAAGGAAAAGTGTGCCAGGGTTCTTCTGGTCCGAGGAGCCAGCAAAGACGTCAAAAACTACCGAGGACAAACGCCCTTTCAGGTACAACAACGAGTTTTTCGCTTGGCTACTTTTTAATGACTCAAAACAGTTTTTTCAAATAAGCTTGCTTATGAATTTTTGTTTATTTGATTGGTTTAGCGTTAAAAAAATTTACCACAACCATGAGTGCTGAATGAACTTGTGTGTGTTTGTTGTTCTGATGCGCAGAGTTCTTAATTAATTAGACAGAATGTCAAACTAAAGCACAGGCATTATGTAAGACAGCACTCAGAGAACAATAAGTGAGCGTGAGGGTAATTCATCATTTTATTATGTTTGTTTGCATGGGTTTTGGTATCTTAAGATAATTAGGAGTTCGATTTTAGAGAGGGGGAAATAATGAACGTCAAATCAGTTTTTGTTGTTTTCTTAAATGCTTTAGTTGCTTTCAAGAAAAATCTCTGGTTATTTTGTTTGTTTACTTAAAGAGTTTCTTTCTCAAATGTCAGATTGTGACATTCAATAGCTTGTCTGACAGCAATGGACATGATCCAAGTCTGTGGCCATGGGCTGATGAGAGTGTTGCGTTTACTGTTCAGTGGCCTTCAATAATGGCTGTGACTGCAATGCCACTTAGTCATTAGTGATTATTATTAGAATTATAGCCAAAACTGAAGTAATTTTTATGTCGATAGTCGGCAAAGTTTGATTGGGAAATTAAACAATGTTCGGACAGAAACGTATTAACTCAAACATGTTTATGCCTTGAAAAAAGTATAAGATTTAAAGGGATAGTTTACCCAAAAATGGAAATTCTTTCTTGCCCTCAATTTCTTCCAAACCAAACCTGTTTGAGTTTCTTTCTTCTGTTGAGCACAAAAGAAGATATTTTGAAGAATGTTGGTAAACAAACAGTTGACAGTGGCCATTGACTTTCATAGTAAAAAAAAAAAAAATACTATAGAAGTCAATGGCTACCGTCAGCTGTTTGGTTGCCAACATTCTTCATAATATCTTCTTTTGTGCGCAACAGAAGAAAGAAACTCAGATTTTTCATTTTTGGATGAACTATCCTTAACGTCTACCTACCATTTGTGCATTGTGTTATCATCTGCCAATCAGATTAATCGGAGACAGATTAAATACTTTACAGTAAATAAATTGTAATTTTGAGTTCTTATTTAGACTTCTAACTTGAAAGATTTTCCTACTAAATAATTAAATATACCTGTTTTGAGTTATGATGCCAAAACATGTTAAATTAATGATAAATTATGATTGCTTTATTAGTGACAACATTATGGTTTACAGTGTAGTTATTAATGCTTATTGTTAGAAATATATTTAAAATGGAATAATTTTTGTGCAGAAAGAGAGTATAAAGAATTTCTGTTAAATTTTACACATTTATGCATTAAGCAGAACTGTTGTTAGTTTAGCAACATTTCTTATGAACAATTAACACAACTTTTTCTTGTGTTTCACGAAGGTTAGCAATTATTTTCACACAGGTTTCCAAGAACTATGTCTTCAATTGGTTGGATTGCCCCACTCATTCCAAACAGATAACCACGGCCTATACTCATGCTGATGGTTAAACCACTGTTGCCGTGTTAGTCTGAATCCTTAAACAAACAGCAATGTTTTGATTACAATGCAGAGTAAAGGTCCTTGCACACCGAGTCCGAAATTTTCGTATGCATTTTTTCGTATTCGTCATTCTAAAAATTCGTCACGCAAGAAACCTTGCACACTGAGTCCAACGCGTATTAATTAATCTGTTGCAAAAAAATTCGCAAACAATACAAAATGGAGTCTTCAAGCAGTGAGGATGATTTTGTTGCCTTCTCTCTTCTTAAAACAAGAAAAAGAAAGAGGAAATATTGGGTCCATCCAATCCGGAGGTGGCGTAGAGAGGAAGGAGAGTTCCACCTCCTTATTAAGTTTGTGATTCAAAGTTTACTTCAGGATGTCAGCGGCTCAGTTTGATGCTTTGCTAGCGATACTGGAGCCACATATGAAAAATAAGACCACCAATTTCCATAAACTCAGTGTGCAAGGACCTATACAGTGCTTTGTGCTGCCAGACAAAGTGGATCAACTTGTCAAACGCCATTTTGGATTTTGGTGTTCGCTTGTACGGTGGCTTTCAATTGTCAAAACACCTCTCAAAATGATTGCTAAGGATGCGAAAAACGCAGAAAATCGAACCCGATCCGAATTTTTTATGACGGATGAAATTTTCGGAGGCATTGTGTAAAAGCGATTGACACAACGTGAGTGAGGTTGTATTTATTTTTAACGTGCGAAAATCTCGGACCTTTCTTTACACTTTTCAGGGGAAGCAAACTACAAATGATGTACTTACAGCTCCAGGATACAGGAACAATTATGATACAGGAGCTTATAATATTTCATTTACATGATTGATTTTACATTGTGATATACTGTATTATAATAGGAATATTTTAAGATCCAATCTTTTAAGTACCCACTTCTAATTACATTTTTTGATTATTTTTGATTATTTGATTTATTTTGAGTTCAGTTGCTATTAAAATGACATACTCCTAACCCATAATCCCCATCCCTCATATCACTGTCATAACGAAGTGAATTATTAAAGCTTCAAAGCAAATGCTGATAGCAAAATAACACGTACAGTAAACCCTTTAATAGCAAACACGCCAGCATCAATACTGTACTAAACCACCCACATAATGGAAGCTTAACCCTTTGAAATGCATCCTCCTTGACAGAAATATCCGTATCCTTTTTGCTCTTCGCCACATCTATCACATTGCATTTGATTTCACAGGGCACAGACCTGTCTATCCAGCAAAAGCCAGGCATGTTTTTAGTTTATGCTTAAAGTTTAAACGCCTTTTTCTGTTTTCAGTGCAATAGAGTGGAAAAATACTTGGTTTGGATGTATGCCTTAAAATATATGTTGTTGTTTGTGCCTCCAGGAAAACTGTGGTATTTATTAGCAAGATGGCACATATCGCAACAGTAATCCAATGGCAAACCTCCAAAAACTTTCAAATAGAGCTGAGATCATTAGTTTTGCAGTCGGCTCTACAGTCAAACGCATCAAGTCAAACATTAGCAACACTTGCCGCAACATTTAGTGTTCATGGCTGGCCTCTTTGTGCGAGTTGCTCGGCTTACAACCTCTAAAGCTTTGAACTGACCCTGCTCACTCCAAACCTGACGTAGGAGTGAAGTGTTTATGTAATGTACATATCAGCGCTCTCCTGATGCGTTGTTTAATGCGCTGTATTATTCATCTCATGCTGCTAAAATCATATTTCACGCCTCGGCGATCGCTCGATTACAACTCATTTAAGCAGCTCATGAAACTTCAGGCTCTCGGCAGGAACACTCCGATCCGCCTGGTTAAACAGGACTTTTTCCCAGCAAAATCGAAAATGTGCTGAGCAAATTGTATTACCGTTACCCTTTTACAATGATACCGGGTCAACGGCAAACCGAAAGCTTCTGGTTCTTACACAACAGTGTGTGCTTTCGTACATCAGACCACCCAAATCAGTTGAACAAATTTCTTGACCTATTTGTTTCCAAATTAGGCCTTTATTGCGTCGATTGACTTAATTTTGTGTTGTTTTTTTTCTCTATTTAATTCATCTAGCATTAACTCTAAGCTGCTGCCAGGCACCATATTTCATTAGAAAAGGAATGCAGTTCTTCTCAAGCTCATTACGTAAATCTTAGCAACTAATTTAGTGTAATGTGAATGAAGTCTGTGTTTTATCACTCTTAGGAATACACTACTCCAAAATCCACAAGCGTAATGGGTTACTGTGCCTTTGTGCACCATTTAAAACCCAGTTTTGTTCTCACGACCAGACTTGGTGACCAGACTGATGTGTAAATTATAGATCTTATAATAGACTGCGTAGCTAACTTTTTAAAGGGTGGTAAAATTAAAGCCATTAAATAGAAATGAACCTCTGCTGAATGGGTAGTCGTGCTTTTGGAACTTCTTTTTTTTTGTTTCATTGCTGTGAAGGCCCTTTTGAGGATACATTAAGCTTTGCGGGGGTGGTTCACCAAAAAATGAAAATTCTGTCATTTATTCACCCTCCTGTTGTTCAAAACCTGTATGACCCTTTTTTCATCTTAAAATGCAAAGGGAGATTTTAGGCAGTAAGTTCATGCTGCACTATTATATTGTTTTACACAATCGTTCAAAAGTTTGGGGTCAGATATTCAGGGTTGGGGTAAGATTTTTTGTTTAAGAAATTAATATTTTTTTTGTACACACATTATTAAATTGATCAGAAGTAAGAGTAAAGACTTTTTGCAATGTTGCAGAAGATTTCTATTTCAAATAAATGCTTTCTTTTGAACTTATGATTCATAAAAATATTTCACAATATTGCAGTATTTATTTATTTATTTTCAGATAAATGCACCTGGGTGAGCATAAGACACTTATTTCAGAAACATTTTTAAAAGTCTTACTGACTCCAAATTTTGAATGGTAATGTATATGATACTTTTTTATTTTTGAAAAAGTTAAACTGATAAAACAATAAAATTTGCATCTATGCAATGGTGGTATTATTTTGGATTCAGTGGGTCTGACTGCAGGTTTGCTGACTCAAGACACTTTTGTGTTTGTTCTGTCCTTGTGCTACCAGTAATTATTTTATTTTATTTTATTTTATTTTATTTTATTTTATTTTATTTTATTTTATTTTATTTTATTTTATTTTATTTTATTTTATTTTATTTTATTTTATTTTATTTTATTTTATTTTATTTTATTTTATTTTATTTTATTTAATTTTTTTTTTAATTTAAATTTTTTTTTATTTTTTTTATTTAATTTAATTTACTTTATTTTATGCGGGCTTAACCAAAAAAATAACAATAAATAAAAAATAAAAAATTGTTGAAGGCTTTGTGAGAAAGTCAGTGAATGAATCTAATATGCTATATATGTTTGTTTTTTTTAAAGGTTGCGATAATTGCTGGAAATTTTGAGCTTGCAGAATTCATAAAGAATCACAAAGACGCTGATATTGGTAAGTTGGATAAACTCACCTTCTTTGATGTTTGTAAGAACAACCTTATAACATAGTATTTTATGAATTCCAGAAATGTACATAGATGTACATACAAAGTAAAAAGGGACGAGTAATAAAAGAAATCTTGTTCATATAATCTGAGATTCTGAGTTTCTGTCATAGCCAGTCACATTTGTAATTAGCAACAGAATATTTAGTTGCTGGGTTGCCCCGCCCACAGTGACATTTTATTGGTCCAAAATTGTTTTATCTGCTGCACATAAGAATTAACACAAGGTTGCAGTGCAATGTAAATTTGCAGGATATAAATGGTTAAATATATGCAGGAAAGCCAAATCCAATCACTATTCTGTACACAAATAGATATTAAAAAGGATGCAAATTGGAATTTTGTATGCACACATTACAGTGATATCACTATTGGTTGTTTTGAATGCTAAACTATCAATGGAACAAAAATAGACTCTAGACAACTGTAATTATCTACAGAACAACATTTTAATCAAGTCATTGTATGGTTCATGCTGAATTAATTGTTGGGGAATTATTTTGGAGGAGTATCAATATTGCCTTGTTCTGACTGGCTGTGATTTGCTAGAAACTTGTCGCATTGCGTCCCGCCTGGTTAGGCCACAATGTTATGAACACCTCTGAAGTCTTGATTATACTGAAAATAAGCAATACCAAATAATTTAAAATGCTTTTCCTCTGCATAATTCCTGCGAGAGTATCATATTTATTAAGGTGTATGATATGATCCAATTATCAGGCAGGGAGCTGATGCAGGTGCAAAAGTTGTACTATGTGCTAAAGGCTAACATAAGCTAAAATGGGCTTCCTCTATTGTTGTTAGTGACACAACAGACGTCACCTCCAGCGGTTCCCATAATTATGCAGTGTTATAATGCTGGGCCTCAGCAATTTGTGCCTCTATAGGGCTCCCGAAGTGGCTCACTTTAACTTATAATTGTGCATTTGAACCTTAAGTGAATATACAAGGTCTCTTTACTGTTCTCGGGGTAATTTTTAAGCTATTTAAGTTATTTTGCATAGGAGCAAATCTAGTTTTCATATAGTAACTCTGCCAAACAGTTCTGTAATTTTCAATATATATATAAATAATATATTTTATGTAGTAATATATTTTATATAGATATGTTTAATATTTATAATACAATAACATATGTACATTTATATTTAATTCATGTTTTTATTTACTGTTTTTGGGGCCATTTTTAATTTATTTTTGAAGTTATTTTGCATATATGAACAAACATATTTTTCATATATCATGTATATATAATTTTATGTATTATTTGTTTAATATGTAAATAATTTGTGTGTGTGCATTTATATGTATATATTCTTATATATCTTCCTGTGAGGTCTTACTGTATCTTATGCGTATTCGCAAAAATATTTTGGCCATAAACACATGACAAATGATTTTTTTTACCTTGCTCGGCACTCTCTACTCCCACAGCTCTAACACGTGTAGCAGATGTCAGTATTAATTTATCAAAAGTAAAATGCATCCGTATATTTTTCTGACACTCTCAGCCACACAGTGATTGAATGCGCTCATTTCAATTAACGGACCGCATAATCATCTGCCTCATTAAAGCTAGGAAAGGCACAACAGATTTAATTAATCATTAGACATCATTAAACGAAAGGATTTGGATGAAATGAAGTCTGTTCTGGGTAAATAAGACTTTGAAGGACTTCACATGCCACGGATGTGTCCGTATATAATGTAGAGTGGAGATAACATGACATAAATAACTCATTTACATATTAATTATTCATTACAGCCATTTTGCATGTACATTTTCACTGCGTTCCGCATATGACGTGATTGATGCGCATTATGCGTTTATAAATGATGATATAAGTGATATTTGTTTGCCCCTGAAGGTTATGTGCACAGGCATTGCTGATTGTCGTTGCACCCTATAGATGATTTCATGCGTCGAACCCAAGCATGCATCTAGAGAGAACGTTACTCAGTGGAGCTGACCTACATAAGCTACAGACCTTACAGGAAGAGGAGACTCATCCATATACACGCACACACTTGCACACCAGCAGAATTCCTACTATTTCCTGTACTGAATTTAGGCCATTATCAAGTCCTAGGTTTTTTTTCTGATCAGAATTGTCACGTTCAAGTTTCTTGTCACATTTGTCCTGGTTTTTCTGACCTGCAATGCTAATCTTCGTCTCACCGACGTGCCGTATACTGGTTAACCTGCTTATTGGATGACATTGAGTGACTTTGATTGCTTTGTCAGTTCATTTTCCCTCTATATTAATGTAAAATTGAAATGTGGGATAACGTTTCCAGGACTATGCGCTTTAAAATAAAAGTTCTTTATTGGCATCAGTGGTTCCATGAAGAACCTTTAACATCCATGGAATCTTTCTATTGCACGAAAGGTTCTTTATAGTGGAAAAAGTTCTCAGGGTTTCTGCAGGTCTTAAAAAAGGTCTTTACAATTCGTTTTTTTCCCACAAATTAAGGCCTTAAAAGGTCTTAAATCAGAGCAGAATTCATAAAGTCATTTTAGTTTTTCAATTCAAATATCTAAACAGCCTTAAATCAAGATACATTTACTTGAGATGCAAACTGAACATATGAAGTCTTGTTTTCTGAGAAATGGAATTAAAGTGAAAAATAAATATACTTAAAGGTGCTGTATGTAAGTTTTTGACTCTACTAAAGCATAAACATACCATAATATGTTTGCAGATATTTAAGAAACATGCTAAGTTAACACTTGTTTATCTGAAAAACAATGCTACAGTCAGTTATTCTCCTTTGAAAATGTGCGTTCCGAGCCGGAATGTCGGTCTCTGTTTTGGTTTGTGAAACCCGCCCACTGCCAGTTTACCCAATTGTATTTCATAACCCCGGGTTGCCAGTTCGCGGAAAACACAGCGTATTTCATTTCATTCATCGTCAAGTGCGCTCGTTCGTGTTGGTGTCGTCAATCTGGCAACCTGCGTGTGCGTCAAGTCTGAGGAGGAGGGGCCGGGTGAAAAAAACCCTCTCCAATATTTTGAATTTGGACTGCAATACCTAGTTCAACCACTCGGTGTCAATCCTACATACAGCACCTTTAAATGTAATTGTTGTATACTACAGATGCATTTACATATTTAAGCACTTAATAAAAATACCCTGCAATTGTACTTTTTAGTATACTAAACTGGTATACTTAAAGTCTGCTAAATTGGAACAAATAATTTTGTACCTAATGCACTTTAATTGTGCAGAAGTAGTGCTGAAGTCCAACTAAAGATATACTGAGGTATATGATTGTGCTGAATTGGAACTATTGCAAGTATACTTTAGGCACACTTTAAATATCTTACATTTAAAGACTTAAATTATTAAAAAATCATACAATTCTCATCAATAGTGGCATTAAAACACATTTTAGGCTTAATATTAATAAATGTGCATTGTGCACAAGTAGTACTCCAAATAAAGTTTAATTATCATTTTTAAAATCAGTAAGTCTCAAGCGATATGTCATGTAAATAATGTAAATATGTTTGTACTATACTTAGTATGAAAAAATTTATTTTAACTGTAGGGTATGCTTAAAACAAGAACAAATTTCTGTCAGTGGGGTGTTAACTTGTTTTCTCTTTGAATTAAGGTGATTTTTCTGAGCCCAGTGGCAGATTTTTGTTCTCGTTTTATCCACAAACTCACTTAATTTTGATCAGCATCTCATAAAACAAGACTTATGACATTTTGCTTCTGAAGTAATTGGCTGATTTAAAAATCTATGAACATTTGCACTGGAAAAAAAGACAAAAATACAGAGGATGAACACTTTTTTGCAGCGTGATCAGGAGGTATAGTAAACGTTATTTCCTATTATTTTGTAAAATGAATTAAAAAGTAATGGGGATCTGTTGGAAGTTGTATTTTCAAACTTTTAAGTGTTCCATTCAATTTATTCCTTTCTTTTCTTTACTTGGTCATAAAAACTTAAATTTACTTTAATAAAACCTGCAGGAACCCTGATTCTTCAGATTATTAAAATGTACTTGACACAAAAAAAAAGTCCTGTTCCAAGGTTCTTTGGGGAGCCTCAAATGCATCTTAAGTGGCATTTCTGCAAAAACCTCATTTTGGAACCTTTATTTTTAAGAGTGTAGCTGGAGAATAGAGCTGACCTGAAGTGTAGATGTAAGACCTTTGCTACAGCTGTCAGGTTTTCCTTATACCTCTGGGTAACAGCTCTGACATAAACACAGAGATTCCATCAGCGGAATATGGGAATCAGCAGGCTTCCGGATGTTTCAATCTCAGGGAAAGGAATCTTTGACAGAACGAACTGGTTGGCCAGCTGTGCGCCGATATTGTTTTCATAAGGTTTTGATTGAACTATCTTCAATAGTTGCACAGTTTGCCATTGCGTCTAAAGTGTCACTCAGGGAGGAAACAGGAATGGCTTGTTATTTTCATGCGCATAGTAGCAGGGGATCTGGTAATTACGTGTCACATGTTAGACCACAGCGGAGGGCACAGTGTCAGAGCTTTGATCTTCACAAAATCCAACCGTTTGCGTTTTTAAACTCCATCGAAATCCATCGGGTTTTGTTTGTTTATGTGCTGCGGCCTCCATGCCTATATGTTTAAAACAAGCACTGTAGTTATGCATGTAAATGGACGTCCCATTTAATGCCACCCGGAGGTTGCCATGGTTCCCGGATCCACACAATAATTGGCTTAAGGGATGTGAGTTTGCCTTGTGCACACTTGTCGCGGTTGAGAAGCCAAGGAGGTCTCAGAGCCTGGCTTATTATCGACTTACTTGTTAAAGCATATGAAATGGCGCCTATTTCAAAGAGCACTCAAATATTGTGTGAATTATGGGAAGATATGCATGTATGCATGCACACATGCAAATGCACACACACACTCAGACTCATATTGCATTCCGCCAGTCTATATTAGATATTGGGGCCGCTGGGAA